AATTGCAGGCTATTATCAAAATTTACCAGTTGAACATAGATGGAAAATTTTTATCAATTGACAAAAAAAAAAAAAAAATGATGTAAATTAAAAATATAATCAAAATTTAAAATTCAAAACTCAAACAGTTGGATAAGGCTAATATAAGAATGGAATTTTTGTTAACAAAAAGTGTTCATACCAATATTTTAAAAATTGGATCGGTAAGCGAACCGGAAAAGAGATTAGGTGGATGGGTCATTAGTTCTGTAACAATCCAGGTGTTTACTTATTCTTTAAAATTTATACTAATATTATTTAATCATAGTTGAGAAAATATATGATTTATTTTATATTATTATGTGTAATTTTGTAAAATAATGTAATTAGTAAGAAATTTAAGGGTCAAAGTGTAAATAGGCAACTTATCTAAACTTATCCATTTGAGGGATAAGCTTCAAGTCTAGGACATGACGATGGCTACAAAACTAGAAAGGATAGGTGTCACCCAAACTTGAAACTTAGTATAAAAGGAAAGGAAATTTGGCTATAAACCCCTTTTATCTTCTTTTCATTGTTAAAAGGACTAAGAAAAAAAATTATATTTTCTAAACCCCATCATAATTATAAAGTCTTGCATAAAGGACCAAATTTATTATTTAAATATTTTATCAGACTATTATACCCTCAACTAAATCTTTCAATCTTCTCTACTCTAAACACAGCTTCTCTTCATAGCCATGTCAGAGGCCACCCGTCGATCTCTCTCCATTCGTTGCCGTGGTGCTTCTCCTCTCAGCTTCTCTGCCACACCACCACCGCCGCTTCGAATATCGTGGTTGTTCTCTCTCTCTCTCTCTCTCCTCCATCTCTCTTCTTGTCGTCGTTCGCAGCTACGATGACATACCTCCTCCATCCTTGCAATCTTTGACGAAGAGATCTAACCACTACCAGACAAGATCTAGTCGCGTAGTGAATAGATCTGGTCCCGCCGCTGTTCTGCTCTTCTTTAGTCGTTGATGGCGCTGAACAATCGTTGCGCAAGATAAATAAATACATACATACACATAGACATGCATTCTGTATGTAGGTATGTATATATATGTGGATATATATATATATATATATATATGTGTGTGTGTGTGTGTGTCTACATGCATATGTATGTATATATGACTCATACATACATGTGTATGTGTATATGTATATATATATATATATATATATATCGGTAAGTGAATGCATGTATGTATATCTTTGAGTGAGTGTATGTATGTATATCTGTGAGTGTGTGAGCGTATGTATGTATATCTGTGATTGTATGTATATATGAGACAGATTTGGAACAGTAAAATTTTATTCTAGTTAAAAACATGTTGATTTTCTCAACAACCAAACTATATTTGGTTTTCTTGTTATGTTTCTGTAATTTTCTCAGCAACCAAACATGCAAGGTTATTAATACATGACACTTAGGCCAAGTTTGGGAAGACTAAATAAGTGCACTTTTTGTCTTTTTAGACTAAAGTATGTATATATGACTCATACATACATGTGTATATGTATATATATATATATATATATCGGTAAGTGAATGCATGTATGTATATCTTTGAGTGAGTGTATGTATGTATATCTGTGAATGTGTGAGCGTATGTATGTATATCTGTGATTGTATGTATGTATGAGACAGATTTAGAACAGTAAAATTTTATTCTAGTTAAAAACATGTTGATTTTCTCAACAACCAAACTATATTTGGTTTTCTTGTTATGTTTCTGTAATTTTCTCAGCAACCAAACACGCAAGGTTATTAATACATGACACTTAGTGTGACTTTGGTTCATTTATTTAGTATATATTTTATTTGTTGTAACAGTAAAATTTGGTTAAAAATATGTTGATTTGCTTAACGATATAAAATTTTATTTTGAATCATAGCAAATTTTACTCTGATTCAGAGTAAAATTATACTTTCAGAATAAAATTTTACTTTAATTCAAAGTAAAATTGTACTTTCAGAATAAAGTTTTACTCTGAATCAGAATAAAGTTTACTAAGGTTCAATGTAAAATTTTACTCTGAAATTTTACTCTGGTTAAAAACATTTTGATTTGCTTAACAATACAAAATTTTACTCTGAGTAAAAGTAAAATTTACTATTATTCAAAGTAAAATTTTACTCTAAAATACACTGTGAAGATGGTTTAATAGGAGAGCTGATAGATATAAGGGTAATATAGTAAAAAAAATAAATTTTAAAATATTAGGAGGTTTTGAAAGTACCTATATAATTCTTGCTCTTTTGAAAGACAAATTAGACAGTGAGAGGTCTATCATCAAATCCCCTAAAAGAAGTGATGGTGCTGTGAATAGAACAAAGAAAAGAAACTAAGAAAATGGGAAGAAAATACTAAGGGTCTTTGGTAGTGGAAAGAAAAAGTGAGATATTAATTTTAAGGTGAGTTATATTATACCTTGAGTTACAATTATTTTGGTAGTAAAAGCTCCAATAATTATTTTGGTACCCTCACTTAAATATTTTTTCCACTCGCGCTTATTTATTTGTTCAAGAATTAGTCGTAGGTAACTTCAGTTATTGTCTATCACGATACTTAACCCTTGACTATAGGGAGAGAGTCGTGACAAATTCAACCGTTGAGTTGAACCGGAATCGAATCATGATGTCATAATTATTTCATAAATATTTTTATAATTTAATATATATATATATATATATATTCATCAAACATATATGTTTATATATATTTTTATATTAATATTGTTTGTAAAAATATTAATTATACATGTGTTTGAAGGACATTAGTTTAAATACAATTAATATTATATGTTTCTTATATATTAATAAGAAACTACGGTGGCAGAATATAAATTTATGCTCTTTAGAGCTTGAGGTGTTGGGTTCAAATCCTTTTAGTATTAATTTTTTTAATATTGGACCAAACATAATAAACCGGTTAGGTTGCTACAACTTGAGCCGGTTCGTCCGGTTTAGTGGTTTAAATGTGGTTCGTACCAGTTTAATTTAAAATGATCGATTTTCAAGAGAGAATAAGTGAGAGAGTATATCCAGACTGATCGGTCGACGATTCAACTGGTCGAATCGATCGGGCTGATTTTTAAAACATTGGTACATACCCAGAAATTTGTCCATTTTATATAAGAAGGTGATTCATCCTCACAAAAATATCTCACAAAAGCAATTCTTCATAGGTTACAGAATAAGCAAATAGACTCTTACCTATTAGAATCTATGAAAAGTGATTTTGTAAAAGACTTTTATATGGATACTCATTTTATATAATAGTGGTATCCATAATCTCGTAAGCCTTACAACTAAAGACAGCTTTTTGGTTTATTAGTAAAATTTAAATGAGATTTTTTTTTTCTTTCTTGTGTTTAGTTTGTATATTCTTAAATAATCAATGAAATTATGTGGACCAATTCGCATAAATCTTACATCGGCATTGTGGGGGATAAAAGCTTTGTTTATTTTAGCAATTTTTATTTTATTTTTTACAAAAAAAAGAATTAAAAAAATGAAGAGAGTTACATGATAATTTAAAGTAATTTTTTAATTAAAATATTTAATTACCAAACTCAAAATTAGCCATTGACCGACCGGGTCAGACGGGCCGATATTAATAAAACCCACGACTCCTTAAGAATCTTTCTGTATATGGACAAACTCTGCTAACAAGCTGTTCTGTGAGATAGCTCACTTCAACGTAATGAAGATTATTCTAAAGGCTGGTTTGGTAATAACATTTTTAGTTGATTTTTTGTTTTTTTTGTTTTTTTTTTATTATTTTAGTCTGAGATTTTTTTAGTTATTGAGTTTTCTTATTTAGATTTTTTGACTTTTTAATTTTAAAATGACAATTTTTTTTTTTTTTTTTTGTGATTTTTTAATTTTTTTTTCCTTTTGTGATTTTTTAGCCAAAAAGAAAAACCAAACGAGCACTTATTATAACTAAAATAATTCCAGTGAGGAATTTAAGAATCTTCACTTGTCCGATATATGGAATGTACAGTTTATAAACCGGGTCAAGTCAAGATATATAGGGCACCGAAGAACAAAAAAATACCTCAATGAAAATTAATTGCTAGATTTCATTTTTTGAATTAAAAATTAATTAAATACAAAATCGAGAAATTGTCTTATATTTTTTTTTCACGATTAACAAACAATTTTTTTAAAAAAAAGTTAAATACACCGTTAGTTTTCAAAATATATATTTTTTTCTTCTCGGCTTTCATTAACGGTGATAAATAAGGCGAATAAACTGAATGATTAACTGTTCAAACTTTATTTGTTAAACTTTTTAGCTGATCTCAAACTAATTTTTGTTGAGTCGAGTTTGAGAAGTTTAGTATTTTTATATAGTTTTAAATTTATCAAACCGAGCCAAATGAGTAATTGATTGTTCAAACTTTGAAAATTTTAATGAATTTCAAAATGTGTTCATACTTGGCTTGTGTTACTTAACGAATTAAACTCAAATGAGTTTTTAAAGAGTCGAGTTCAAACTGTTTGACTCATTTATTACCTCTAACTTTCGTTATAAAATTTAATACAACACATCAATTCAATCCCAACCACACATCAAAATTTTGAGTAAAATTATTGTCATTTTTTTTTATAGACAACTAGGTTTATTGAAAATCTAGACTGCAACAAAGTTGTGACTATTTTAACTCTCTTGGGATAAGTTAATGAATAAATTCACACAATTAAAATATCAAAAATCAAAACATAGCATGAGGTATAATAATTAATATATTAAACCCTGAATAAACCCTGGCAGAGGTGCACAAGACGACGAAGGTTAGAAGACAACATTTGTCATAGCCTTGATGAATTTCTGGCGCAATTCCATGGTTTGTTTCTCAATCTTAAGTCAAAATACAAAATAATAAAATAAAACAATAATAATAAAAAACCTTAATTATGCAATTTTATAGTCCATTCCCTACCTCCTTAATCTCCTATTTCAACTATGTCCCCATCTTCAACACCATTCCCAACTTCTATTCCAATTCCTTCTTCATCAACACCTCAATCAATCGCCATGAAACAACAGTTCCTTCTCTCTCTCCTCTTCTCTTCTCTCTTTCCACTCATCAAAACCCAACAACAATATTCAGGAAGCTCAGTAATGGATTGCAATAACAGTGACCAAACAAGCCCATCTCCATCTTTTCTCTACACCTACAATGGCCAAAACTCATCTTGCCAGGCCTTTCTCATCTTCAAATCCCAACCTCCTTATGATTCAGTCCCATCAATCTCAGCTCTCACTTCTTCAAACCCATTAGACCTCGCTCAAATCAACAATGTCACTAGGCTCACAGTCTTCCCAACAGGCAAAGAAGTCATTGTTCCAGTGAACTGTTCTTCTTCATGTCAGTACTATCAAGCCAACACCACTTTCTTTATCCTAACCAACGATACATATTTCACCATAGCAAACAACACATTCCAAGGATTATCTACATGTGACTCGCTTATGCGCGCGAATCAGCAATACAGCGAGAATAGATTGTACGAGGGACTCGGATTGCATATACCCCTTCGCTGTGCTTGTCCTACGAGGAAACAAGCTGCCAATGGCGTCAAATATCTACTGACTTACTCATTGGATTGGGACGATAATATTCCTGATATTGCTGACAGGTTCGATTCAAGTGAACAGAGCGTGCTCGATGCAAACGGGTTTTTAGAACAAGGTCCAACTCTTTATCCCTTCACAACAATTTTGATCCCTCTGTCAACAGAACCCTCAAGCTTGAACACCATAATTCACCAATACAAACCCGTTGTTTCGCTTACACCACTACCTCTTACTAATACTACTACTACTATCAAGATCAAAGGATCAAAAGGAATGGTTTATGCGGGAGTGGGAACTGCAGCAGGTTCTCTGCTGCTACTCTCAATTGCCATTGCATTCGCTATGTTTTTGCTAAAAAACACAACAGGTAGAGTTTCTCAGATTAATTGTGAAGAAAAAGGAAAATTGGGATTGCCCAAAGATCTGCTTGTGGAAATTGCCAGCATCGAACACGACCTGAGAGTGTTTGAATTCGAGGAACTCAAGAAGGGTACAGACAATTTTAGTTCCAACAGCCAGATAAAGGGTTCTGTGTATCGTGGAACGTTCAGTGGTGAAGTTCTAGCTGTTAAGAAAATGGGTACCGATGTATCCGTGGAAGTGAACATGTTGAACAAGATCAACCACTTTAATCTGATAACACTTCACGGTATCTGCCAATGCCATGGCTGTTTCTACCTAGTTTTTGAGTACATGGCCAATGGCTCTCTAAAAGAATGGCTTCACAAGAAAAGTTCAAACGAGAGAAGAAGCTGGACTCAAAGGATTCAAATTGCCCTCGATGTTGCCAATGGGCTTAACTACCTTCACAGTTTTACCAAGCCTGCCTACGTGCACAAGGATGTGAAGAGCAGCAATGTTCTACTCGACAGACATCTAAGGGCAAAGATTGCCAATTTCAGTCTTGCGAGAACAGCATTGAAGGGAACAAACAGTGAATGTAATATTGTGTCAACACTGGTTTCGGGTACTAGAGGTTATTTGGCACCTGAGTATATAGAGACAGGGCAAGTGAGTCCCAAGATCGATGTCTATGCTTTTGGAGTGGTGATGTTGGAATTGATCACAGGAAAAGATGCTGTCATTCAGAAGGAAGGTCATGAAGTGATACTTTCAACAGCAATAGCTTCAATTATGGAGGGAGAAAATGCAGAAACCAGGCTTGGTTTGTTTATCGATTCTAATCTTGCAGAAAATGGAGGCATGGTGTATGCATTGCGAGTGGTGAAGTTGAGTTTGATGTGCTTGACACAAGATCCATCAAACAGACTGAGCATGGCAGAGGTAGTGTCTGCTCTGATGAAAATTCAAGTTGACTTAAAGAATTCAGAATCAGCGTATGCTGAGTGTCCTTCGGAGAGTGATTGAGAAAGGGAAAAAGAAGTCATGTGTACTTTAGTTTCTGCTCAAAGTGTCAGAGTATATGAACAAAATTGTAGAGTACAAACTGATATGTAAATTTACTGTTGTAGATGTGTCAACAGAACTTAAAATCACTTGAAAGCAAATATTCTGATATTGATTGTTTTTTCTGCTCAAAACCCATCAATTATGGCCATTGTTAATTGAGAAAACCAACTTGGTCTGAAATGCTTCAATTTGTTGAAGAATTTTTTTTGTGCAAGGGCATTAGCTGATTGCAAGTTCAGTGTGGCTTCTGATGTGGATGGTGCTTTGGTAGTACCATCAGGATTTTGGGTGGTAGGAGTTGAAATTGTGTTTATGGCAAGTCTTGTCAATTAGATGCTTAAATTCCAACAGAGGAAAATCTTCATTGATCTAGGGAGAAAACATGCAAAATTCAGTAGGCTGAGAGCAAAAATTTGGTGGGTGAGAGGGTGGAGGTTTTGGTTTACAAAGAGGTGGTCGAAGAGGCAGTTGAGGGTTTGACTTGTTTTCATTTTTCTTGGAAGGAAGGGAAATGAAAAACTCAGGGTTTTGCAGAACAGGATAGGAACATTTGGTAAGAAATTGAAATGTGATTCAGCACAGGATGATTGCAGCATGTATTCATGACGGTTGGAGTCTCTCAAGAGAGAGATGACTGGGGGAAAATCAACTAACATATAGATAATATCATCTGGGCTTGCACTAAGAAATTATTCAAGGTATTGACAGCAAATTTTGATGTTTAAGCTTGCAAAATTGCGAGATAAGAGAACACACTGACACCAACAAGTGAAAACAATTAATAATTCTATTAATTTTGCATTTTAAATACAGAAGGGACTCATCTACAAGGTATAGAAATCAAAACTTTTCTAACTACTCTGTTGAATTCAATTTCTATAGCTTGGCCAAAGGTTCTAATGTAAATGGCCAAACTTCAACAAATCAATCACAAGTGCCATTCAAATTCAGGCTCAATACTTCAATAAGGAAAACTACCTGTCAGCCTAATATGGTCTAGGGTCATCCGAAGACCATATTTGAGGACTGCCTGGTTACCAGCTCTAAATCCGTTACCATACACAGGAGATGTGTCTGATTCAATCTGGTGTTTGAAAAACTCCCCGAGTTTCCTCTCAAATGGAGATCTTGTCCCTTGCTTTGATGATCTTGAAACTGATGTAGAGGATGAGGTTGATGCAATGTTGTTACCTGATATGGACATAATCTGGGATTCTAACCACATGTGAGCTAGCACCTGACAGATACCTTCTTCAACATCTTGAGGGAGAGTTCGGTAACCTTTCAAACAAACAAGTATTATATCAGCACTTCCACAGATATAACTTAAAAACATTGTGAAGTTTTAAAATAAAATTAAAAAAAAATAATAAACTATTTTTTCTTTTATTTCTGGTAAGTAGGGAGGGGCCATGCCAATTAATAGGAAGGAGATCATTTTTAAGATCAATGTGAGATTTTCTTTATAAAGTGTTAACAACAAGGACTTTTTTTTTTTGGGTATCAATGCCGTAAAGAAATAAAATGGAGTTATTCTAAAGCCAAGAAAATGAATGAGATAATATCATTTTATTTGGCTTTGCAATGAAATCTTTAAAAAGTTAAATGCATGGTTTGGAGAAGCACCTTGAAGTCGAAGCCATGCGTGCATCATCTCATGAGCTAGGATAGAACCGGTCAGCAACCTGTATGAAGATAGTTTTAAGAGTTATAGAAAACAAAATCTCAGCCAAGAACCAAAATTTTAAAGATGAGACAGTCATCTTCTGCCAAACGTGTCACAGTGCAAGGCCAAGAGACCAAATTCAAGCCGTGATAAATTTGCCATCATGAGACTTAAGAGTTTAACTCTCTCCATTAAATCTGTGAAATGCTCATTATCAACATTCAATCTAACAAATTCTCATTGAGAAAGAAGGAAACTGCACACGATATATGTGTGTGTACGCAAGTATTTGCATAAAACTTGCTCTACAAATTCTTCTGGATTATTCACCCCCGCTATATAATGACCTATGAAGCACGGGTACGGGTACGGGTACGGGTACGATGCGGGTACACCGATACGAGAAATTCTTTAAAACGTAGGGTACGGGTACATCAAATTTTTTTTTTAAATTTTTTAATTTATAGCTAAACATCTAACATACAAATCAAAATTTCAATATCAAAACTAAAAAAGAACAACTTGTCTTAAAAGTTATATAATTCTTTTTTTTTTTTCTTTTTTGATTGTCTAAAATAGGATGCAAAAGAAAGCAAAATCATGACTCATGAGTAAAGGGTGTTGGAAATAAATTACTTGATATTTTCAAAATTGAAAGAAAAATAATAAAGGCTGCAATAAATTCTAGCAGCTGCAAGAAAAAGAAAAAGAAAAAGAAAACCTCGCCATACCGATGCTGTACTCATGCCATATCCACGACGTACCTAAACGTATTTGCCGTACCCAGTACGCATACCGCCGCACCGGTACACGTACCAACACCTGGTACTCGTACGATACCATTTTTGGAGTACCCGTGTTTCAAAAATGACCACAAGATCTGATCATAGGATGTAGAGTTAGTCTCGTGAAGTCGTGGTACCAAGGCTTGAAGCTAAAGCGTTGAATACGTTAGCTAGAGAGGCTAACACAATTGGTGGTTTAGTCGCCCGCGCTTAGGCTAGCCTCATAACCCCAATGACTAAATTGGAGATGAGGTGGTTGCCTGGTTGGCTCACCACTAGGAGATTGTTTTCCCTAATTGAGAGAATCAAAGGCTGTGTTTGGTGAAACTTTTGAAACATAATTCCACACTGTCCTTTGAATGCGGTGTTTGGTTAGTGATTTCAAAAATTGATTCCACACTCACTTTTGAAACACATGTCTACCTGGTCATCCTCCCGGATGTCCCCCCGGACGTCCGGCCTAGGAATGGCAACGGGCCGGGGGGGGGCCTTTGGTATGCTAAACTTGAAAACTTTGTAAAGAGGAGCTAGGATAGGAATGGCAACAGGGCGGGGCGGGGCGGGGTCGGGGATCGCACTCTCCGTCCCCGATCCCCGATGGTAGAATTTCCCCCGGCCCTGGTCCCGATCCCCGACGGGAAACCTATCACCGTCCTCATCCCCGTCCCCTAACGGGGATCAGGGATCCCCGACCTCGAAATTCCCTAGTCCAAAAAAAAAAAAACCTATTACAGCAGATCAACAACACCATCAAACAATAGATCAATTCAACAATAGATCAACAACATCATACATCAAAAACAAATCATCTATACTTACACAACAAATCAACAAAACCATCTTACACAACAAATCAAAAAAATAAAAAATACAGAGATGGTAAGATCTGAGAAATACAACTCAAAAAGATAAATCACACAGATGGTGTTGGCAGCGAAGGGAAAGGTAGCGCCATGACGTTGACGGCAGAGATGGTGTTGCCGTGATTGGCGAGGTCAGACAAATCAGTGAGGCGAGATCGGCGAGATCAGATAGATCGGCGAGGTCCGACAGATCAGCGAGGTCAGACAAATGGTGTCGCCGTGATGTTCTTGAGGCGGGAGATCGGCGAGGTCGGCGAGATCAAAAAAGGGAGAGGACAGCGGATGAGCCGCCGCCGTCGACGCCGTGAGGAACACTTACAGTAGAGAAAGAGAGAGGGAGAGGGGTAGAGGCTGAGAGGAGAGGAGAAGTGAGTGTGAGTGGGAGTGGGAGAGAGAGGAGACTTAACTCAACGCTAGACATATATATATATACACGGGAAATTCGGAGAATATTCGGGGAATTAGTCGGGGCGGGCCGGGCCGGGGGGGAAACCTATCCCCGTCCCCGGCCCGAAAATCGTCGGGGATTTAATTTCTAATACCATCCCCGGCCCTATGGGGATAATTTTCAGGAAAAACCCGCTCTTGTCGGGGTCAGGGGATCGGGTCCTCGTCGGGCCGGGTTCAAATTGCCATCTCTAGTCCGGCCAGTTGATTGGAACAGTGTTTTTTTTTTGACACCTGTTATTTTTATATTTTAAGTGAAAAATAATTTCAGAATTTTTTTTAAATTTTTTTATGAGTTTTGAATAAAATTTTAGGTTGTGTATTTGGTTATGAGTTGTAAATTTTTTAATCAAATATCATATGTCGCATCACTCAATTCAAACTCAATTTAAAACTCTTTTCAAAACTCATAACTATACAAATTTTTCACACTCAAATCATAATTCCAAAACTCACAAACTCAAAATATAACTCTATTCTCAAATCATAATTCTAAAACTCTACCAAACGCAACCAAAAGTAAAATCAGCTTGCTTGGTTCCATTTTTCCAAAAACACTTTTCAGAAAATTCTACTTTCTTATTTTTTGTATTTTTTTGTTTTTATTGAATTTTTTTAATATTTTAAGCAATTTTTTTACTTTTCAGATACACCTAACATAAATACACCTAAAAAGTAAAAAAATTGTAAAAAAAATCTTTTAAAAATTCACTAAATACCAAAAATACAAAAAAAATACAAGAATTCAGTACATATTTTGTATTTTTATGTATTTATTAATTTTTTAAAATATTTTTTCACAAATTTTTTACTTTTTAGATACATCTAAGTAAGGTGCATCTGAAAAAGTAAAAAAAATGTTTAAAATTTTAAAAATATTCACTAAAAATAAAAAAACACGAAAATCAAAAAATTATGTTTTCAAAAAACTTAATCCAGAAAGCTCAAACCAAACATACTGAATGGTTTTAATTTAAACATGATTATTAAACCTAAATTCACCTAAGCATCCAGTCTTAGAAATGAATTTAGGCCAAGTTTGGCATAATCTACAAAAAGCCAAAAAATCACTATCCTATTTAAGTCACATCATCTTATTTAAATCACATCATCTCTTTACCACATCACTTCAAACCCAACCCATATTTCACGTTTTTTCGTAAAAAGTCAAAAAGTATACTTATTTAGATCATCCCAAACAATCCCTGAGATGCTAAGTGACACAGGTACAACTATGTAATGTACTCATAAATTGATGGTTGTGGCATAGCGAATCATATAAACTCCTTTTCATGTCCATGTAGACTGACAAGTTGCCTACCACATAGTCCTATTATAAACTGTTACAGCAGAGAGAGAGAGAGAGAGGGAGAGAGAGGGAGAGTACCTAGGAAGGCCATATAAAATTAGAATTGCAGTCACTTCACAACGACGGGTGAGTTTATAAGGCTCTGTTATCATGTTCATGATTCTGTTTCCTGCCCCAATTCTTGGTCGCCTCAAAATCTGGTCATTTTCAGGGTATATACGATATGAGGATTATTGATCGTAGCAAACTCAATGATTCTCAAGGAAAAGAAAGAAACAGAAATGACATTTTAGAAAAAAAAAAAAAAAAAAAATCCTTACAGTGCTGACAGTTTGTTCCTCAGAAAGACAGAGTCCTCGAGTCTCGGGCATGTGATGATGGCCCTGGCCAACAGAAAGAACTAAC